TCTTGTCTTGCGTACTGGCTCCTCAGAGGGCCTAGCTTGGCCAGAATGCCTATAATATCTCTATCCAATATTTATATCTTCCTAGTTGCCTACAGTACTATATTTTGCAAACTAGTATGTGAAAAGCCAATTTTATTTGCCATGCCAAAACAGAAGAACAAAATCTAGCTGCAAGTGAAACTCCAGACAGCATTACTTGGAAGCTGAATGAACAGAGGAAAGGAGAGGGCATGAAATCGAGAATGGAAAATAAACTTGAGTCTGCTAAGTCTGTCAGTATTAATTCTCCATGGTAGGTTTCTTAAGGAACAGCTATTATTTCCTCCTTCAACTTAGAGAATAAAACTTATCAAGTTAATGATTGTTTATCATGCAGAAAATAGTAAGCTTATGATCTTTGCACACTTGCTATCCATGGTACAACACTTTGCAGTTCATTAATGGTCCTCTCAGTGGTCTGTTTAGATATGTTTTGGGGTGTAAATTTTTGCTGATAATGAGCGAATCTGTTCCTTAAATCTCTATCTAGATGTCTCTGTTAATGTGGTAAATTTAAGCTTTCCAGTTAAGCAAAATATTTTAAAACATATTTTATTTTCCTCTCTTTAATACCACCTCAATATAAATTAACAGCTGTAGAATTTCCTGAACCTGTATAGAGTATTTCATTCATTTAATTTACCTAAGTTCTTGTTCAATTTAAGAACTCTATATGGCAGGTCTTAAAATTCACTTGTAGGGCCAGGGATATAGCTCAGCAGCACAAGCACCTGCCTGGCAAGTGCAAGGTCCTGAGTTCAATTCTTAATACCAAAAATAGATAAATAAAGTTCACTTTTGTCATTCAAATCTGAGAATTTGAATGACAGAATAAAGAGTTTTATCTAATTTTTAGGTGGAACTTCCCAAGCTTCTAATCCTTTAAGAAATGTGACATTTTGTTGGTGGATTCATAAAATGTGCCATTTCATGGTGGATTAATAATAACAAATAGTACAAGTGCTCTTCTTTAGTGAATATTCCTGTGTGTTAATGCACCTCATGATTAAATTTAGGAATTTCTTATCTAAAACCAACACAATGTCTGTACCATAATAGATGATGGAGACAACTTTTAAAAATCATAATCTCAATTTGAAATACATATTGAATTTTAAACAAACTAATATAATCTCATAAAAAGCATGTCATTATTTCAAATACAGTTTAGATTAATTATGTATGTATATATGTACAGTTAAATAGTATTTTCAAATATATTAGTATGGAATTTTTTTGTTATAAACTTTATGTTCTTGTATATTTTTGTTTATATATTGTTTCTTGAGACAGGGAGTTGCTACATAGTTCAGACTGACCTTAAACTCACTATGTAGCTCAGGGTGGTCTTGAAATCGTAGCAATCTTCCTGCCCCGCCTCCTGACCGATCGGGTTACAGCTGTGACCACTGAGCTAGGCTGCTCATACTTTAGAGAAAACTTTTGAAAACACTTTTCACTGCACCCTACCATACACACACGCATAAAAATAATCTTAAGACTGTAATTGTTGTGTTTTTTTTTTTTTTTTTTAATCTTTTTCTGGTACCAGGAATTGAACTCATGACTGCGCTTGCCAGGCAGGCACTGTGCCACTGAGCTAAATCCCCAGGCCCAAGATTATAATTCTTGTTCAGGTAAGAAATTCAGGTATAAGTACATTTTATCCACTTTCCACTCAATAACATAATAGTGTTTTACCTTACACTATGGGACAATTACACAAGTAGTAAACTTTTAAAATGGAATATTAAGATAAAAGACAAGGTGAGAAAGCAACAGATGAAGAAAATTATGAAATTCAGAAAGAAAAATAACAGAGAAAGGAAAAATATGTTAAAAATTTGAAATACATAAAAATATTTAAATAATTTCAATCTCACACATTTTCCTTTCATAAAGTTAACCATTAAATGGAACATCTACCTTTAAAAATTTCATTCATGTGTACACTAGCGGGACAGAGGGTCATTGCATAGAAGGTATATGACAGGTGAGAATGGAATCTCTAGGATACCCACATTTATGCATATATTGCAGTATTTTTGCTGTGTTAAATTCAAGACAGTTAATTTATATATGGCTCTCAGCTACTTCCTGGCTGTGCTTTATTTTCTTCCCATGAAATAAATACAAAAAATTACCCAGCCAAAGTTAGTACATCTTTGCTTTGTGAAATAAGCTTGGTCTTTATTTGCAGCAAATGTCATAACTGACTAAAAGAAACTTAAGCAAAACATATACTCTTATTATCTCAAAGTAAAGTCTAACATACTACAAATACATTAAAATAAGCATAATTAGAAAAAGAACTTGTAAAATCTGAAGGCACTATAGGAGTTCAAAAATATGTACACTCATAAAACCATAATACAATGTCCTTCATAATTTCTATGTATTACATTCTAATATAGCTCTGTAAATTACCTAAATTAAAACCCTCATGTACATGTTGTCATTCAGCTTTACAAATATTTTCCTTCAGTATATTTACTCAATATCGCAGTCATTTTTCCAGTGGTGGTTTATAGTTATAAAGCCACTTAATCATTTTTCACATGCCTTAAATTTCACGCTGTCCAATCACTTTAAATATTGTGGACAGTAATTATGCACAGGGCTGCGTGTGATAACATTATAATGTCCCTTACATAACAAACGATTACTTACACAGACCCGTCCTTCCTTCTTCTCGCTTCATGCTGGGCGGTGGGATTTATTTCCTGATCATCCTAGTCTCCTGGTTGATCCGAGTCCTTCCACCCCTTGCCGCACCTGCCGATTTCATTACACTGTGAGCCCTTTCCAGTCACAGTGTCAAGGAAACTGAAACTGGACACAAATCTGCTCCACTGAGAAAGGATTTCTTAAGATTTTGGATTTTAATGTAGAATTTTCATTTACAATGCAGAAGTTTCTGAAGTTTTGAATTCTAAACAAGGGTTCACATGACAGATAAGAACTGTAGCGCAGTGCTCATACCTACAAGTGATGGACGCAGTGAAAGAGGCAAAGTAGTACGCGCTCAGTTACACTGCCCTTTAGGGTGGACCGCGCCTAGAGTACTCCAGGAGGAGAGCTGGCAGCGCTTGACTGCCTACAGAGGTCCCTATGGGCGTGCTCAGCGGCATTTCTTCCCTCCCTCCCTTCCTTCCTTCCTTTCTCCCTTCCTCCCTCCCTTCCTCCCTCCCTCCCTCCCTCCCTTCCTTCCTTCCTTCCTTCTTTCCTTCCTTCCTTTTTTCTTTCCCTCTTTTTCTTTCTCTCTCCAGCCTCCTCCCTCCCCTCCTCTCCTCCCCCTCCTCTTCCTTGTCTTCCTTTTGAGACAGTCGGGTATTGATCTGCTTGCCCTTTTATATTTGGAGGGTTTGTGTTCCAGCTTCTCTCAGGACTGTGAGCAACACATTATGATTGCTTAAATTGAATTTATAGTCCCAGACAATCTCATGACTGAAGTAAATGAAAAAAAGTAGTGTCCAGTAAATAGATGACATTGGTTTTGGTGGAGTTTTATAAGAACATATAATGTTTCCTGAATATTTCTACAGTTAACTACCAAGTCTTCCTTGATGGTTTGGGATACCGGCATGAAGCAGATCAAAATATGCATGCGTCATTTCCAAACGAAGCAGTGCCTGCACGCAGTAGGCAGTGAAAGCACAGGACACTCAGCGGTTCGCAGGCTCCAGTAACTATAACTACATAACGCCCACTCGCCCCAAAGTGTCATCTTTTGTACTCTGTGACGGTGTCCAAAATTCTTATTAAAATTACTTCGGGAAGCAAAGTCCTCAGTAAATTTGTGTGTATATGTGTTCAGAATGAGCACGGCACTTGTCGCTTATACAGTAACATACAGTCAATAGCTGTCAGAGTAATAGACCATGACACATTACTCAGAGTGTGAGAATCATGACTTACGACTTTTGGAGGGAAACTGAGGAATTCCATAATAAAATCACGAAGAATGAATTAGGAGTGTCCAAAGCAGAAAAAACGGCATGGTGGGCATGCTTGTAATCCTAGCACTCTGGGAGGCTGAAGCAGGAGGATCACATATTTTATCCCATGGTGGGCAGTTTAGTGACTTAGGGAGACTTTGAAAAAAAACAAAACACTACACCATAAAAGGGGGTGGATATGTTGTTCAGAGCAAAAGTCTGGATGGGGGGGGGAGAGAGAGAGAGAGAGAGAAGGAATATTTCATCAAAAACAAACGATCTTTTTTCTCAAATTTCCCCTTGTTCCACACCCACTAAGAGGGAATTTCGAGTTACATGTCCGCAAGGCAAATATGTGTCCTCCCAAATACTGCATCACAGAGAACCGATTAATCATTCTCCCTGGGGGAGAACAGCCGCACTGTCCGCTTGGTTGGAACCCTCGGGAGCTGACCAGAGCGAAGTGATGTCAGGCTCCGGTAGCGGGAACGGCAGAGGCCGGCTTGTGCGCATTCGGACGGAAAGCGTGTGTTAACTGCTATGAATAAACGAATTCTGATGAAAAGTACTTTATTCAGTGTAGGAGTTATTAAGCTCAGTTGCGTACGCCCATTTCGTGTCGCGGGTGACACGGCAGCCGCAGGGAGCGGCGCTCTGTGCGAGGCCCTGGGCGCCCCGCGGCCTCGCCGGCCGGGGAGCCGCTGCTCG